TGTATGTGACTGCATTTATCATTTTTTTCCTGAGCCTTTTTTGGTCAATTATGCACAAAGTGTAAGTCTGTCAGTTATCATGCATTTTTTCATTAATAGCTGTATTTTTCTAACTATTTTCCATCACAGTAGTTGCTCCTATGGCAACACATTCTCTAACATTCATTCCTTGAGAGTGACCGCACTACTGCAAGTGAAAGACAATTGAATGGGGCAGCCTACATCTGTCCCCTATTTTCCATTAGGAAAGTGTGCAAGTAATTGGCCAACTAGTTTGATTGCCAACTATTTCAATATTAAAAAATATTTGCATCTATGACCAGTCAAAAGTAATATATACAGTTTAAGAAAAGGAACAGCAGGTGACATATGTTGAAATTTTCTTAGTACAGTTCCTTCTAAAAAAAAAAAAAGCTATAGAAATACAGATGATTACAGCATTCCCGATTTTATACTACTGGATGTTATGTATTGGGAGACTAATAACAGTTACATCTGGTTATTTCTGGAGAGGTTTGGGCCTTTTTTGGTTGCTTGGTGGAATTTTTACTTGCTAAGGATATTAGATTTGTATGCTGTCTGCCTTCCTCCTTCTCCCAATAACTTTTGAATTCATTGGATAATTTCAACAATTTTTTTTAATAGAAGGCTAGAGTTTCTCAAAAATATTAATTTTATACAAGTTTTATATCCAACAGAGGACAAAAACCTTCACAAGCATCCTTAAAAAAAAAAAAAGCTATTTTCAACTGCACTGAAAGCCATAATAGAAAATCCAATATAGGAGGAGAATCCTCTGATATGGCAGGAGGATTTTGATTAGATTTCATTCATCATTAGACAACAGAGAATCTAGCAATGAGAAAAAGCTACAGAAAAACAAACTTCATTAGTTCTGCTTCTCCTCGATACACTTGTCAGTCCTTAAGTTTTGGTTTGTTTGTTTTGGTTAAGGATTTGAAAGGGCAAAGGAGAGGAAATTATACATGTATTCTGCTAGTTTAATGAGGTTATCTTTCAACCAAACTTTATGTGGCAGTTTTTTAAAGCAACTGCTGTCTGAACATTCATTTACAGATGTATAAAAATATATGTATAGAACACAGCACTTAATTCTTTGGATGACCAAGAAAACTATGCTTGAGAAAATTAAAATTAAGCATCTTCAAGAGTCTCTTCAACTGAAAATCGGAAAGAATAATTGCTGCAGCATGCTTAGGAGACTGATCCCTCAACCCCTGCCATGCCAAACCCATTATCACCCCAAAGGGGATAATAACTGTCATGCCTAGTCTCAAGCTCGAGTACGTTTGTTAGTGCACTGACTGATACAGAAAACAAGGTCTAGCATAAGAGATGTTTCACACTAAAGTGCGCTAATGAATCAAAGTGACAGGAGAGAGTTTTAACCTTCACAGAGCAAAGGAGTTGTTTGCTAACTAGTCAAGTAGAGGAAATAAGAGTCTAACAAAAAAGACATTTGTACACGCAAGAAGTAAAACAAAGCTGCTTTTTTTTTTTTTCAGTTCAGAAATAATAGCTTGACCACCTCCTGCATAAGGAGGAAACATAATAAGTTTCAGGGTGGAATAAAGGAATCTGTCTGGACACCTTGGAAGTCTCCAACGGAGAGGACCAGCTATGACAGTGAATCAAATCACACTGAAAGGATGGTTCCGGTGAACAAATTCCCTCATCAGTAAGCTCTCGGGTTGAGGCTCCAAAACAGACTCTCCCTAAAGGGAGGACCCAAAGGTGAAAGGCAAGTACAAAGACTGAAATCTAGACTGACAGAAGTTCGGCTAAGGAAAACGTTTCGCAATCTATACTTCTGCTGCACAGATGGCTCAGTACATAGAGAAGCAGTGGGTACAGGCATCTTTTTAACAAGGTTTCAAAGAGCATTAATAGTGTTCCCAGACATTACAATAATAGTGAACAATTATCCATTATTATTGAAAACAGATTAATGTTCAATGTATCAACGTACTGAAATTGACATTTCTTTTCATGCACAGATTCCAATACCTGCTCCTTTAGCTTTTCACTTACATTCTGTACCTTCCTGTTTTTCCCACACAGTTGTTTTGTTTTTTTTTTTTTTGGTTGGTTTTTTTTTTACTATGCTTATAACCTGGCCTTCAAAAGACTTCAGTTCTGTATTTCAGTTTTAGGGTAGGTTTATGGTTCTGTATTTTCACATACTAGTCCCCAGTTTAGAGATTTTTTTTCAGTTCGAGGTTCAAAATTTCACTGGACACAAACAAATCAGTTCTGCTATACATGTGCAGTGGACCTGATACATCTGGAAAGCCTGGGAGCAACTATATATGTAACACATTAGTTACTTGTGAACATGATGAAATTCAGACCAACACATTCTGAATGCAGCACACACACTGTAGATCTTATGAGTCCCTGAGGCAAACTTTCTGCACATATTTCTGTCCAGGGAATCCTAGCCAAAACATGGCAAGCCTAAACATAAAACTTTCAACTGCTGTGAGAGAGAGGTACATTCATACCTTTCACATAAAAGAAAAAAATACATTTGAAAGCAAGTATAAGAAGAGATGTAGATCTCTTCTTCTGGACCTCTTTCTCTTCCAGAAAGATTTTTCAGTTGTCTTATTTGCCTGACAAACAAAAACAGTAGAACACACTTGAAACTGGAATATCCTCTGGTATCGTTAGTCCAAAAAATTAGTAATAAACATTGGGAATAAAAGCCTGGTTTACAAAGGTTATTGGATGACCAAGACTTCGTCTCCACCAAGGCGGCAGATAATAGCAATTCTGTGATTCTACAAATTCTAGGCAGTTTTTCCAGTCCTTAATTTTATTTTATTTATTCTAATAGTCCGTATGTCATGGTACCCCACAGACATCCTTCCTTACTTGCTGCAATCAGTTCTGTCCTTTGTAGAACTACCTTGTCTTCTTTTCTTGAGTACTTAGAGAAACAATTTAAAAATTCAACTTTTATTATACAATTATGCAGTTAAAGTCTAAATTAGTATCATTCAACTATTTCCATTTTTAAGTTTTAATTAAAAGATTTCAGCTTTTGGAGTTTTTAAGATTATAATGTTATGGCAAAAATACATAAAACAATAACAAATACAATAAAATACAAGGCCTGAAATGTTTTAGTATAAGTGTTAGTATATGTGCAAGAAAAATAATGTGCAACCTGCAAAAAGAGAAGAAAAGAGTAGTTCTGGAATACAGTTCATGCCATACGAGGGATAATAATTTCATTTTAGTGAATGCTGAAAAGCCACAAAGCACCGCAATGACCAATTCAGCAATAACTTTAAAAGCTCCTATAAACAGCAATGGAGGAAAATAGAGATAGATAAAAGGAGCCATTTTTAAGAAATTAATCCCCATAATGAAAGTTATGTTCCCACTTTTTAAAAAAACAACTCTGCTATGAGTCAGAAACAAAATGAAGCAACAATTACTTAGATATTTTCTGCTAACCAAAACCACACTTTTCAGTCTTCAAGGGATCATTTGTCCCTGAGACAACCACTCTGCTAAGGCTAGACTATAAGTTATTGATGTTGTTTATGGAGCTGGGGGAGTGATTCCATCTGTTTGTGATGGGCACTGCAGGTTTTTAAAAGAAAACAGTCAATTCCAAACAGTTTACTGATAGAATGCTCTCTGAAAGCTTGACCTGGACAAGCTGAATAACTACTAGGTAACTGGTACTTACAACTCAGTCTCAGCAACTGATTTGTTCATGATAATCATCTTACACAGATGAACCTTACATTGTGGTTTACATGTGTGTGGGATCTCTACGTTATCTATGCTAATAAAACATTAATCAAGGGCCAAATTTATAGCAGGCACTTTATAAGTAAGGTCAAGACAGGTCAGCCTCACATAATAGGAAACAACTACAGGCTAGATCTTAACACTGTAACTGAACACCCTTGTTACTTTACCTTGGCCCTTGGGATCAAGACTAGTAGCAAAATGTTTTTTCTGCCTCAGAATGTGTTTCCCTCACTGTAAACTGAAATGCAACCATTAAAATGATCACTATTTTTACGTATCTTGGGAACATCTACACATTTTAAAAGAAAAATCTCAAAGAGCCATTTCCCCTATTCCTACAATGATAAAAAGATATATATATATATATCATTTTAATTTATGTGATAAATTATTTTGTTTTTAATTCAGTAGCTGTCCTAATCCTGTAAAATGTATTTTCTATTGGGATTCTTACTAGCTCAAGTTACTCACTAACAGAATTTAGGTTTAGATAAATGGCATTTCTTATAATACTCCTACTTAGCTAACTCATTAAGACATCTTAAAAAAAAATCCTTTAGAAGTAGTAAATATTGCTCTTAGTCTGCCTCAACAATCGATTCCTAACGAAGAAAATATTGATGGTTCTGAATAGTCACTACAAGTCAAAGAGCATGGCCTCATCACCTGCTCTGTCATTTTCTATGAGCCCCAGTAATATACATATATAGTTACGGATAGAACATTAAACTAATTGGTAGTATTAACAGATTTTTTTTTTCCTTTCTTACCTTAAAGAGACTCTCTTCCTTTCTATCTTATGAGGTAGATAGGAAATAAATGAGCAAACTGGAATCTAATTTTTGAGACAGAGGCTTATCTTACAATTCCTAGCTATAATGTCTTCCAAATATCAATTCCCTTCCTCAAGAGATTAGCGGAATACAAATTATAGTTTCAGTGTTAACCAGTGCACAAGGGCAGGAAGAAAGAAAATCCATGACACAATGATAAGTGAAATATTTAATGAAACTAAAGAGCATTCAGATTCTGCAAAATCCCATATTCAGTATGAGAACTGAATCGAACTATTAACGAACTTGAAATCATGCTTGTAAAACTCAAAGAAAATGACACAAGAGGCAGCAGAAAAATTCTTTAAAAAAAGTTTCAAGCCACACAACTTCTTGAAAGTGAAGGCAGAGGTGCTATCAAATATTGTGACTTACCTTCCTTCATTGACAAGCTCAATAAAGGCAAGGCCAGCATTCTTTTGTATAGAGTTCTGCCACTCCTGGGAAAAAACAAGCGAAAACTAGTTGTATAAAAACAAAACTAAGAAAAAACATTTTCAGCTACAAAATCATGCGCTTCTCAGTTTTAGCAAACTTACACCACACCATCAGCAAACATATAAAGCATTAATTGTGTGCTAATCAGGAAAGAAATATTGCCAGTATGAAGAAACAGAACAGTATCATTTACTCAAAGTCATATTCTGTGGAGGGGAGAAGAAAATATAAAAACAACTCACAGACAACTGCATAATTTTCTTTTGCTATATTACGCAATAATTCTGAACTTACTCTGGTTCACTGATGCTTTTTGCCTTATTGAACCTTGATAATGCTAGAAAAAACTGTTTCATGTTAACGTAAGGCTCATTCTTTAGACACACATTTCTCTTATAGCTTAAAGTCTAGTTAACATATATGCTGATAATAATCCTCACCTCAGCATCACATAGCCATTTCTACTCAAAATAATCTGCTAATCATTAACACCCAGTATGTTTCAAAAATTTTTAACACATCTTTAACACTCTGAATTTTTAACACACTGAAATAATGGTAACAGCAGACACACATGCACTGCATATTTCTTACATCCAACTGAACCCTGAATTACAGCAAAATTCTACACCTCTTAAAAATGTAGGTGGGTTTTGCCTGGCCCCCAGAAGAGACACGTTGGAAAGCAACCAACCCAGATGATCTACCACTGGGGCTTGCTTCCCCTATTTGAAAGCTGAGGAGAAAACCGAATTGGTTAACAAAAACACAAAGAACATTTTTAATCCTAGAGTCAATAGCAACAAGCTGACAGAGCTAAAAATTAGGCTAGTAAATGTGTGAACCTTGTATTTTTGGGAAAATGTAGAGGCATTTGGGTAGAACACGCCAAATACAAGTCTTGGTTTAAACTCTATGACTCTTCTAAACTAATACAAAAGAATGATTTTGCAGCAGACACATACTTAAATTTCATATGCTTTTCCACATCAACTTCCTTGATTTTTCAGTCTTTGTTGTATGAAATAATAATCCTAATGATTATTCACATTACTACTTCTATCATTGTGGTTCTTTTCAAAAATCTCATCAGCTCCAAAACAGGCAAAAAGAGCAAAACTGCAAATATCTCTTAAACAAATTTCAGGTTTCTGAATGTAGGAGTTTTTAATACATAGTGTCAACAGAGTACATTTTTTGCTGCTCAGTGTTGCAGAATTATCTCTCAGTCAGTGACATGAAGGTTTGATCAGACATACACAAAAGCCAGTAGAACAATATTGTTTCTTTACAATTTAAATCCTGCCCCCCTGCCCTCACCCCTCATCCCCCCCCCAAAAAAAAGATTTCCAGATTTCAAATGCAGGGGAGAGATTATAACTCTGATCCCTCAAGGCTTGACATGTTCCAGGCCCAACATATTCTTTTATCACTTTTAAGTTGCAACAATTTATTACAATTTTCAAGTAGTGAGAATTAAGAGTAGAATAATTGGAATTTGTGATGTATTCATCATTAATTATAAATGTATTTCATTACTTTTTATATAACTAGTTTATATGCATAAATAGGCAAGCAACATTCTAAGTGCCAGCCAAGTTCCGTTCGCATATTATCACATATGGTTTTTTGGGGGGGTTGGGGTGTTCGGGACTTTTTTTTGAGGCTACATCAAGTAGCATCATTGGTCCTTATTGCTACATGTATTTTACTAATATTTCTCCCACCATCCTTTCCCCAATTCTCCCCGATCGCCTTCTTATGGCCACCATTACATGGCTTCAAGTTAGTCTGCAAGCTGTCTGCAACAGCTTTAATAAGCATTTATTCTTATTAAAAAAAAAAAACAACCAAAAACAAACAACCTTTTAGCTGCTAATATTCTAAACAAAATAGCATATGCAACTAATCCTCATAAGAGTTTTTTTAAATGTAATACCAAGTTCTAAATATTTAGCTTCATATGATGATAATTGAAACTATTCTGTTAGGTTAAAAGTGTGAAAACTCAAGAAAAACAAAATAATTTTTTCCATTTATGACACTGTCCATCTGTTGCTCTGCTCTTTAAGAGAGCTCACTACAATACTTGAAAATTTAATTGGTGAAGATGGAGGTCGCCAAAAGTGAAAAGAAAGTGCATTTATCATGATACTTTTCAGCATTTTTCTCTACATCAGACATCATCAAAGAAGGCGTTAGTCTAAACAATTTCATAAATCACAGTTGAACACACCCTAAAGCTAATTTTAATAGCTGAAAGAAAAGACTAATGGTCATCATCTTTCATGATCCATTCACTATTTCCCCACAGTATATTTCTCTCTCAAACAATTACACTCAGTATGCATATTGTATTATTATATCAACATCTTAGTTATCCATCTCCCAAAGGTATTAGGGAAAAAAACATGTTAAAAGCCTCAAACTCAACCACTAATGCAACTAAATAACTACAAAACACATTTCAGCACTTTCCTAAGGAAGGACTGTAAGGGAAGATCAAAGTCAATAATTTCATACCTGTTCTAAGCTGTACTTAATTGACCATCATTTCCTACAGCTATAAAAGTTTAGTAACCCAGAGACATAATCTACTTTTAATGCTTTTGGTCACTGTACACTCAATAGTGAAGCAGGAAAAAAAACTAGAAGCACTAAACACTATCACAAATACCTACAATGAAAAACAGCCATTACAAGGAGACAAATAAGATATCACACTTTATTCAAATACAATGTCTGATGTGGAAATTTCCTAGCTCATTATTGTTTCACCTACTTCCTTAATGGAATCTGTAAATATTTCCATAAGTACTCTAGATAAAATGCAAGTACTATATCCTTTCCTAAAATGGTGCTTCAAGCCTCATCTGAATTATAATTCTGTATGGAATAATATATTACATTTCCTGTAGCTACAGCACAACTCTGCCATAAGCAAAATTATATCCCAGTCCTCTATAGCACCAATTTTATATCATCAAACAAGTTTCATTAACACATTTTTACTGAGTGCACAAGGATCATTAAATGAAAACATTAAACCATACTGGTCTTAAACCCTTCCTTTCAGAAACTAATAATCTCCCTCAAGGTTTATAACGACCTACTGTCGTCACATTTGAGTCAGGTTGGGTTTTTTTAATCTATTTTAAACTTTTTTAAAATTAATTCTAACTAATGATCAGTCATATGACAGTACCATAAAACTCATGAATTTCCACATTTCCTTTGTCTAGGAAATACATTTTGGCCAAAAAACACAACATGCATTAGACCATAACCAACAATGAGATTAGTCTAGCAACACAATCTTTAGTAATTCTATGTCCCACTTTATTTCATTTCAGCTACATATGCATATGTAGTTATCTCAGTCTTCAAATGCATTGAAAAGTCTTTTATACTACTTGAACTTCCTATTTCCTTTTTAAAAATAAGGTATGTCTCTAATCATATGGCATCATCAGATAAGTGGAGAAGTTCTTTAAAACTTCTGCATTGAATTTGAATTTTCCAGTGTCAACTCTATTGACCAGTCATTTTCTTCCATTTGTTGTTGGCTCCCTACTCATTCTGAGTATCCTCGTTCAGATATAATACTTCAGGACCTTCTTATTTACCCAAACAGGCCTGCCCAAAAACCTTTTCTACAAGCAGTGGCTAGTAGGAGCCAGCTTCAAAACAAAGAAATGCAGGTGGTTCTTTACACAGTGCATTACAGATCAGTGGAATCTATCGCCAAAGGATATTGTGGTGACTAAAAGTTTAATAGGATCAAGAGGTGACTGCACAAGTATGTGGAAGGAAAATACATTGATATTGACTAAATATACAGAAAGTACATCCAATTCAGAAAATACCCCGAGCTGAAAATAGCTGGAGAGTGGAAGAGTACCATACATGCTTATCCTATTTTATTCTTAAGTATCTTTTTGTGTCTGTAGTTGAAGATACAACAATAAGCAAGGTGGAGCCTTCATCTAACTCAATATACCATTCCTAAACTCTAATCACTCAAACAAATGCCAAGAAAATTTTGTTGATAAGCATTTTTGTTGGTTTGTAGTTTGAAGTGCTTGCCTGTAGGCAGCAAATGGACATATCCCTCCTCACCTGTACACTTCTAGGAAAGAAATATAATCATATTTCAAACAATTAACCCAAAATATATATTCTTCAAGCTATATAAAAGAATTGGCAAGAACAATCCATCAACTGGTCTGATGGCGAAACAATTAAACATGGATCTTTAACAGAATATTTAAAACATTTCCAACAGATGAAAACTGCTATATTTTCAACTGTAGCAAACTGTACTTCTACTTTCATTCATATATACATACACACACATACCCCTTAATAATTCATTTTCCTCAGAAACTTAAAAAAATATCCTTCCAACAAGGTTAACATATTCCACAATTAAGAATTATATCTAACGGTTGAAATACACACTCATAAGCAAGCAAAAAAGAGCAAATTCCTTGCTAATCCGTCCTTCCCATAAAGCTGGTGGAGATTTAATAATTTATTTTGGTTATGAAACAAAGGAGAAGGATGACTTTGGTACTGACAACTATGAATGGAGCACTAAGGAGCAGGGTGGGAAAATGTGTTAACATATGACTAAGAGACATATTATATCCTAGAGTAAAGGTCAAATCTGCATGAAAAACTTGTTCATAGAGAGATATACTAATCTTTAAGTGCCTAAAGTAAACTATCAAGAACTTTTCAGCAGTGTTTGCACTTGGTGTCAGCACTCTCTCAGCACCACATCCACTACAGGCTTGAATGAACTCAGCAATAAAGAACATATAGTGAAAAGTAGATTATCTCTCAGCTGGGTTCTTCATAATTAAAAAAAAGTTAGACTGCATGTTAAGCAGAATATCTTCAAACATAAATTACTTCTAAAGAGTTGAAGCATGCTTAAATTATTTTAATCTACAAAGCTCAACTGAAAAAAATTAAAACCAACATGGAATTATGGGAA